CTCCCATTGTGGCTAATGCATCTAATAGTAATCTGTTAACTCGTTCTACTTGTCCGTTACCTCTGGGCATACCAACTGCTGTTATGTGAAGCCGAATGCCTCTATTTTCACAAAATTTATTGAATTCATTTGATGTAAAAGTTGTTCCAGCGTCGGCTACTATTCTTTTCGGATTGCCAAAAATAGAAAATATTTCTGACAATTGTTTTATTACATTAACAGCTTTAGTATCCGGAACTGCTCTGGGAAACACAAATTTTGTAAATGCATCTACAACTACTAATAGGTGGCTATTTCTCTTACTGCTTTCCACGAAGGGTCCAAGGTGGTCAATATGTAAGGTATGAAACGGTTTGGCATACTTTGGAATAGGATGAAGATAACCTGGTTTCTTTCCTCCTGCCGATTTGTGATATAAACAGTTAAGACATGATTTGATATACTTTCGAACAAAATGTTTCATTTTAGGGAACCAATATCTTTGTTTAATCCGTTCTACTGTTTTTTCTAACGCAAAATGACCAACATCATCATGATTCAGCTTTACCACCTGCCATCTACATTTCTTTGGGACCATCCAACGTCGACCTCTTTCTGTTAATCTGAAAACTCTATTTCCACGTAAATCAAATTCTTTAAAGATTTTTTTGTTGTTTTGCATGTCACCAGATAATAATATTTCTTTTATTTCTTTAATATTATTATCCTGTTCTTGGGCTTCTTTCAACCAGTCTTCTTCATTTATTAGTTTTATACTTAGTTCACATTCCTCCTGTGTTATTTCTGGATTACGACTCAAGGCATCAACGTGCTGCATCATCTTTCCTTGTTTGTGTTGTATATTAAAATTATATTCTTGTAGTGACAGTAGCCATCTTGCGATTCTGGGAATAATTGTTTGCTTTGACATGGCATTTTTAACGGCATTGCAATCAGTGAAAATAGTAAACGGAATCCCCAAAAGATAGTGTCGAAATCGTTCTAAAGTTCTTACAATGGCAAGTAGTTCTAATTCAAATGAGTGAAACTTTCTTTCGTCAGGAGAAGTTTTCTTGCTGTAATAAGCTACTGGTTTTTCTTCTGCTCCATTGAGTTGAATAATTATGCCTCCAATTCCTTCTTGGCTAGCGTCTGTGTATACACGTGTTTCTAAATTTGGACTGAATATGGCTAGAATGGGAACTGAGCAAATCATTTCCTTCAGATGGTTTACCAGTTCTGTATGATTCTGAGTCCAATTCCATTTCGAATCCTTTTTCAATAAATCTGTTAATATACTAGTTTTAGAAGCGTAATTTTTAATAAATTTTCTGAAATAACCAGTAAGCCCTAGAAACTGTCTTACCTGGTGAATAGTCTTTGGCATAGGGAAATTTTTAACAGCAACTGTTTTTTCTTCACTAATAGAAACATTATTATTGCTAATTACATATCCTAGGTACGTTATTTTAGTTTGAAAAAATTGAGATTTTGATAATTTAACAGTTAGACCATGTTCTTCAATGATCTGGAAAACTTTTTGCAATTTTTCTATACCCTCACTTATTGTGTTAGATGGAATAATAATATCGTCCAGGTAAGGAGTGATACCGACATTTCGAAGAGGTTCAAAAATTTCAGACATCATTCTCTGAAACTCCGCAGGGGCATTACATAACCCAAAGGGTACTCTTAAGTATTCGTAATGTCCCTCTGGAGTTACAAATGCTGTTTTGTGTGTGTAATCGGGGTGCAATGGTATTTGATGGTAACCCGACGCTAAATCCATTGTCGAAAAATATGTATAGCCTCCAAGTGAATCAATAAGGTCTTCTATAACTGGTAGTGGAAATTTAATTTTTTCTGTTATTTTATTTAAAGCCCTATAATCAATAACTAGCCTTTTATCCCCTCCTTTTTTATTTACTAATAAAGCTGGACTAGCATATTCTGAGCTACTTTTTTTTATTATATTGGCGGAAAGTAACTCACCAACTTGTTTTTTCATGATATCCTTATCTGACTGTGATAACCTATAAGGTCTAAATGTAACTGGTTTGGATGTAGTAGTCTCTATTTTCATTATTACCGAATGTGCTTTGCCCAATTTTTCCATAGAGGAATATAAACAACTGTGAAATGTTTCAATAATATTATATAATTTCATTTTATCTATTTTATTTAAGTCCCCGTGATTAACTTCAAGTTGAAAAAGTTGTAAATTATCTGAATATTTAAAAGTTAATTCATTACCAATACGATAATAAGAAATTTTTGGATTTTCCGTAAAATTACGTCCTACTAAAATTTCAGTATTTTTTAAAGTATTAACTGTAACATATAATAAAATATTTAATTTACACCCTTCCATAGTTACTTCAGTTTCGACATATTCATTCACTTCGGTTACGTCACCATTGAACCCCGTAAGACGCACTTTTTCCTGTAAGTTTTTAACTTGTATTTTAAGTCGAATTGCTAAATTTTTCTCAATCAATGAACAATCACTTCCTAAGTCTATAAACGCTTGCATAACTTGATTATTAATAAGAACCGGTTTGAAAAATTTTTTTGCCTCTTTGTTAGTTATCATGTTAACGTTTTCAGTTTTTGTCGGTGAGGACAATTATCACTAATATGTTGTCCCGTTATACCACATCTATGACAAATAATAATTTTATGATTCACCGTTGAAAAATTCCTTTGTCTTTCGTAATTTACTTTTTTAAATTTGTCAAAAATATCCCTACGGCCAAAATCTTTACTGGTACTAGCAACAGGTTTACTATAATAATTGTTATTCGAAACTTCAGTATATTTTTGTGGTTTTTCTGAAATCTTACAATAAACTTTGTTTCGCAAATAAGACCCTAAGATGTTTAAATCATTGATATTTGCAGCTTCTGCTGCTGAAGTAATATTTTTATCATTTATAGCACCCAAAACTAATGAAATTTTATCTTCGATTGAAAAATTTAGTTTTAAATTATCAATTTTTGCTAAGTGTGTAAAGAAAAATTCATATAAAGAACATCCATCTGAAGGCTTATGATTTGCTAATTCAATTAAAAGTGTGTACATATCTCTTCTAGAATGAAATGTCTCCATCAATTTGTTTTTCCAATCGGACCAACTATAACTAGGCCATTGCTTGTCGTTGGCGATTAAATTTTCATACCAAATTTTTGCTGTACCCTGTAACTTATTCACAACTTGATGGATAGTCTGGTGTTCGGCCCAATTAAATAATTTTACATTATGCTCTATAATTTCAATCCAACAGCCGATATTATCTGATAACGGGTTAAATTCGGGTACTGCATTAGATATAACATGTTTTTCCGATAATAAGGATAATGAGACTTGACTTACCCCCGCCTTGTTTTTAGGTACTTTTAAATTCTTTTTTTGTTTACTTTTCTTGCGTCTCTTATTTAATCTAGAAGCACTTGAACTGGACGAAGAACTAGTAGAACTCGAGGAACTAGAACTGCTCGAAGAAGAATACGTTCTTTTTCTACCCATTTCAGGGCGAGTCGAACCACTTCTGATGTTAGGAGAGGGTTGTAACACTAAACTCGACTATTTAACTTCACTATTTATTATATTCGACTAAACTGTATAATGATTCGCACAATAATGCCCTATATCTAAATAAAACGCTTATATAATTTCTGGTGATTTCGACTTATCGCCTAATGAGTCATAGTACTAGATATTCCAGCGGCGTCTCTTACGGGGTTGCTAACATTTGCGAGAATATCGACATAACTAAAAAAAGCTTCAGTTTGAAATAATCAAGTTTAATTGATTGATTTACCAGGCTGAAACTTGAAAAGTGTCAATGGTAGTAGAGCTGTCAAGTGAATACCACTATAACTATGGAAGTGTCGTTGTTTTTTTATAAAGAATATACCTTTTTAATTATGTTAATGCAATAATATCAGAATTGATGATTTTTTAATTGTGACGGTATTGTCGCAAATGAGCGATATGTATATAAAAAAATGTTTCGCGTAAGATGTGTGTGGAAAATGTATGTATTTAGTGCATCCATTAAACATTTTTACGGGTGATATATTAGGTTCTAGTCATGTGTTGGACATGTCAGATTTTTATTATTGGATATATGCAGTGAGGAATAAATAAATGTACTAAATAATTTATTGCACAGCAAATATTACAAGCAAAGTAAAAACAAATAAAAAAATTTAAACATTTTTAAGAATATAGATAAGTACCAAGATAGGAATAAACAATGATAAAAAGAGTAACAAAAAATATATATATTATATTGATTTTTTATTTTTATATTTATCAATTTTTATTTTGTTAATTATGTTTTATTTGTTTATTTTTTATTTTATATCAATATTTTACTTACTTGTTTTGTTGAGCGCCTTATTTTTTTTATTTAAATAATTTTCTATTTATTACCCTTCTATAAAAATTAATTCAACTCCGGCTACGCTTTTCTATTAAATACCCTAATCAAATTATCTGATAATTCGCATGATATGCTCTCGTCCCAGGAGTCGGTTCCCAAACTATAAAAATATTATTTCAAATTTAATTTACCTTTTTATTTCTTTGTATTTATATTGTTGTAGACCCTGTATATTTTTTCAATAAAATTCATTTATATAAAAATCAAATTTAACAAATTTATTTAAATTTCAATTTCAAAAACCAAACAATTATATACAATCATAGAAGAAATCATATTATATGAGCTGCTCAGTGCAATAACGGCCTAAGCCACTTAAAGGTGATATGGAAATACACGTCAAAAAAGAATGAGTGAATTTTTCAAAATTTTTATTTCAACTTTACGTAACATTTTTAATATACATTTAATATAGCCCAAATAAATGAAGTAAAAGCTAATGTTTTAATAAAAGTATTATTAAAAATTCCAGAAACTAAAAAAATTAATGTGGTTTGGGCCACTATTATATAAAAAAAAAATTAAAAATTCTCTTTCAACTGTGGTTTGGACTCGTAACCGTACACACATCCACTTAGGTTTCTGGCACTGCCTCCAAGACTTCGTCATCTAAAGCACAGTCGACATCATTATCTACGGCACCCTCATTGGTCTTTAAATTATAAAATGAATGATGAATTTCTGGAATGTATGGAAACAGAGACTGCAAATCTTTCATTTTATTTTTTTCTATTGTTTGTCCTTCAGGATATAGCAAATCCAATTCAATGTTCTGTAAATCTGAATTTCTAGTTTGTTTTTTTCGACATTTACAGACATAAGTGGTGCTATAAGGTTATCGTCCACGTTCGTATATTTATAAAATATTTTATAAGGGTGAGATTTATACAACCGTATCCATTGAAATTTTAACTATTCTACTTGTCTTCTTTAGTTTTTTATTTCGTTATCGTCTAGTTTTCTGTTTGTTATTAACTGTTCTAACTTTTTCGTGCATTTAAAATCATTTTTGGTCATCTTAATTACCTGAAATTTAGGATGTTTCTTCTTTGCAGATGCTATGACTTTCACCCAATCATCGGGTATGTAAATATTTTCATGATATCGTTTTTCTCTTTCAATGACCCCAAAATCTCTATCGCACGGTAAGTATGAGTTACCGGACACTAAAAATTTCTGGTCAATTTGTTCAATATTATATTGGTTGGAACTTGTTACAAAATTACAAATGGCAGCAATTTTAATGTTTCTGTTCTGCCCTCCACATTGATCACTATACATGATAAATTTTTTGGTGGTTACAAAATGTTTAAAAAAATTTAACAGACAGGAACCAATTTCAGGTGTCATATGTCCATAACTGACGTTTATAGTAAACAACACCCGTACCTATATTTGGTGTGGGTAATGTTTTCATGAGGTCAAACGCAAATATTGTGGTATCATTGTCCAAATTTTGGGCAAAAATTGTATCTTTCTTTAAACCAGACCGTGCAGATTCGACCTTTCTTAAATGAACTTCCTTCTGGTGCGACTTCAGTCTTTTCTATTTGTGTTCCGTGTCGTAACTTAACGTTAAACGCATCACATCTTTTACACGTGTCTGAATAAGGTTGTCGAAAATGTAAATTAAATATCTCAGTAAATATTTTACTAAATATGAACCTCGATACTGCATTATTTCCCATTTCTTTCTTGTAAAGACTATTTTTAGCAATACATAAGTCAGGGGAAAGATATTGAGCATTAGGACTATTTGTTCTTCTGTAGTGACTTCTATAAGTAGGGAATTTCTTAATAAATGAAATCACACCATTCGCCGCGTCTTCACTGATCTTCTTGTTACATGGCTGTTTTTCTCTTTTATCTAATGGAGCTGTAGTCTCAGTTGAATTACCTGCATTTTTATATCTAACTGCTCAAGAAATTCTTCCGTCCGAGACTCCTAAACTTTTTTTAAAAAAAGTTTTACAAACGATAACATCCACACCAGTTTTCGGTAGTAGGTATATGCGAGTATTCTGTGTTCTTGGTAAATCGATCAGCGCTCTTCTGCTGTAGGTTCGTAATTTGGGTTCAACTTTTATTTTACCAAAAATAAAAGCTGTCTGTAAATCAAAATTTTTCAGTTTATAGAAGTTGTCAAAAATAAGCTTCCTTTCCTCTAGTGTAAATAAACTATGACATTTTTATGACATGTGCAATCATCATCATCATAAAACTTCTTTGCAGGAACAACCTGACCTCGTACATTTAAGTACTCTTGACCTGCAGCTCTGGCTCTTTTTGCCGTCTCTCTTTTCCATTCGGAATGATGTCGTAATCGTTTTCTACTTAGCTTTCTTTTTTCTTTAAGAGAAAAAAATCCTGAAGGTGACTAGGGCCAGGGACCGTATTAGTAGGGTTGTCAATCGTTGTTTCATGTTCAGGCAAATTATCAGGCGAAGAAAGCCAGCATTCTTCATCTGACGAATTGTATTCAGATTCAGAATCCTCGAACTCGGAGGGTTCTCCTACGATGGAATCTAACATTTCGTTTCTGAAACAACAATAAGTCCAATTACTATAAAAACAATAACCAGTTAACGCTCTGTATTCTTTTCAATGGGCCACTCTGTATAATACAAAATTCAATATTTTATTACTGGCTTTACATCGTATTTTAATCTCCCAAAAAAATATAATTAAATTTTGTATTTTAGATACGGACTGTGGATAAAAGTATCTGCAACGTAGCAGAAAATATAAGAAATATTTCCCAAAAGTGGTGTTTTGCTCCCAGACTATGGTAAATTACTATCATCTTATAAAAAAACACAAGGTTTAAGTTTTATCCTAAGAAGAATGTTCAGACTAGAATATGTTTTAAACTAATTAATTGTTCGTTAATATTATTACCTAACCTAAGAAAACACAGGACTAAAATAAATGATAATGATGATGATTATTGTTATAAATACGATAGTATTTAGATTGTTATGTTATCTGTAAGATACAAAATATAAACTTACCTCTTTTTTAGATGAAATTAATACTAAAGTTACTAAAGTACTAATATTAAAGTAAAGTAAACAATAAAAATAGTCACAAGGATACAACGGCGGCAAAATGAAACATAAACATAACCACAAAACTAACCGAACGACCCACAAATCTTTTTATATCGCTTCTATTTTTACAAGTATGGTGGCCTAAGTGATTATAGGCCACTGTTGGAGTGACTAATTGTAAGCAACTACAGTAATGATATTGGCTTAAATGATATTGGGCCACTCTTCCGTATAAAAATATTGCAATTATGTAAGGGGAAGAACTACTGATTCATTTCATTCTGTCTTATAACGTTAATAATAAGGTTCGGCCACTATAATTTTGAAAGTATACGTCCTTCGCCAATAGATGACAGTATTAACCCTATTTTGTATATTTTGTGGGTTGGGCCATTATTTTGCTGAACAGCTCATATTAAATTAGAAATAAATCCTCATTGTTATTGATATTATAATGAAATTGTGATTCTTTCAATGAGTCTTTATTTAACCATAAATCTGCAGATTTGTTATTACTTAAAATTATATAGTGGACAAAAGATGGCGTCGAGTATAATAGTATTTGCACCCTCTATTGGGTAATAGGAAACTTATAGTCAAAACGGAAGTAGTTCACCACATATAACTATTTCTTTATTTTAAAGTTCTAAATAAATCACACTGATGGCGATCTGCAAACTGTCATGCAAAGGAACAGTACCTTTGATTCCTTTTTACTAACTTTACTATGAAAGTTTTTATGAGCACAAAATACTATATTTTATTGGTGTGTGATGTGCTCGTTGTTTTCTTTACAATGATGAATAGTTAAAACTTAAAGTCACTTACAATAGTGCATGTAGTTTGCACTCGGAAGAATCCACTGTCTGGTTTCCAAGTATAAACCAGAGTCCAGAGCCAGATTTTCTTTGATGGCGATGCTTCTATCATACCGGTCTCGATATGAGTTTTCTTGGTGAGTAGATTTGTTTAATTTACCTGTCTTCCTTCATAAAATTTAGCTTAAATCGATCCTTAATTACTTCTGTACATTTTAACATATGATTGAAAGTTATTTAAATGAATTATTCTATCAAAATCTTTTAATTTAATTTTAGATTCATAATTTTCAAACTCTTTTTTCAAAACGACAAAATGGAGTCCCCTATTCAACAAATTCGTTGTCTATCAACCGATTAAACCGCTACTAGATATTCAATCCTCCAATCAAAGATTTTTATGGATCTGATACAGTTCAAAGTAAGTAATTTTTAGTTTTATTTTGACTGTCTGAGCAAAGAGTATATCATGGTTATTTCTTATAATTTAAAACACATTATTTTGATTTTTCCCTAGTCAGATTCCACCTATAATCCCAATTTAAATTTCTAGTTTCTTAACTGTCACTTTTTAATCCAATTGACCACAAAATTATCAGTAAGCAAATTAACTTATTTTGACAACAGAAAGATAATAAGTAATGTCACTTATTTTATTAAAAATTCTTAAATATTTCAGTATGTAGTTTCACAGGATAATATATATAAATATTAGTTTTGTTGCTAAAAAATTCTTAAAAGTAAATAATGTAAAACTTGAAAAAAATATGCAATACTAACGGTTTAGAGTCGGTACTCTATGCCGTTAGCTGTACTGTGTATGTATCTTTATATCTACAAGTCTTTCTCTATATGCATTTCCGCTCTAACAGGTGACATGGACCTCTATTTATTCTTTGTCAAACTTATTTTCGCGATCTAAATTGTTTTAAATGTACCATATGCTTATACCCTCTTACTTTTGTAAAAAAAAAACATAATTCGAGGTGAACATAAACCAAACAGAGAGAAAATGATGACGATTCAATGTTGCTTCGTGCATCGGCCGATACTAAGTGGCGGTTTATCTAACTGACGTTCTATAAAAGTCAGGTTAAGAAATTTAACAATCTCTTTATTAATTTACACATCTTATTATAATTTTTTGTCTTGTACAATTGCTTTAATTTTTCTCATATCCTTTTGCCTTTTCAGGCGCTTTTTTTTCCTGGGTCCATTTCTCCCATTCTTTTTTGTTCCTGACTAGTATTTTCATCCCTATCAATTTTTTCCCATTAACAATTCCAATCTCTTCCTTTTGGGGACTTCCTCTTTGCTTTTTTTTTATTTTCCTATTTCCATTACTTTTCTCGCTAATCTGTCCTCCTCCTCCTCCTCCTAGGTTACCATACTAGTTATTTTTTATTATTTCTTTTTGTTATTTTGTCAATATTGGTTTCTGCTTAGTTATTTTTTACTCTGTTTCAGTTCCATTGCATTTATTTTCGACCCAACTTTTTTCTGTAGTAGGTATAGTAAAACCAGAGATCTAGTGACTCTCATAAATCATATTAGCCGGCGACCCCCATTATCACTATTGTTCGATTTGTAGATAAACGATAAAATTGTCTGTTGATTAAAAGATTCCCTATCAATAAAGCCCAAAGTCGAACGGTTTTTATTTACTGCGCATGACGATGACCGTAATATTACGGTTTTGTGAGATGTTGGGACAAAGCTTATGGCTTGTTCGTACTTTGTCATACTGATTTTTATTTTTACCACTTTATACTTTTTAATAATTATATTTTACATGTTCAACCTACATTCTGTACTTTTAAATACTTTATTTTGTACTTTTTAGTACTTCTATTACCTACCTACTTTTTCTTACTTTGTCATACCGATTTTTACTTTTACCATTTTACCACGTTATACTTTTTAATAATTACATTTTATATATTCAACCTACATTTGTACTTTTAAATATTTTATTTTTTACTTTTTAGTACTTTTATTACCTACCTACTTTTTCGTACTTTGTCATACTACCACGTTACTTTTTGTACACACTGTATAATTAAATAAACAATTCTGAATTATAGCGATTTTCCTTAATATTTATTTTACCCCAATTATTGACCTATAGAACAAAACTTAATGGCTAGAGTAGGTATGTCTCTGCGTAGAGACGGCCGCCTGCTGATAAGTAAATTACCTGCTGTTTTATGGTAGTCATTAGATGTCTGATTTAACTATACACCGTTTTCACCAGCATAAGTCTGTAATTATATTTCGAATTTTCATTTTTTTATCTGTATCAATATATTTATGTCCTAGTATTGTTTTCCCCTATTAATATACTTCTCAGGTCGGTATTTTTAAGTTGTGTACATTTTAAAGCTGGTTTGGGCTAAGCATATTGTTCTATAAT